CGGTCAGACTGGTCAACCCCATATATGTATCGATATATGATAAACAAAACAAAGAGTGTTCGATTATTAAATATAAACTAATAAATTGATTTAATTATAGGCAACAATAGTAGCAGCAAGTACAACTTGGGGCCTTTTTCTTCTTGTTTTAATGCTTGGCTATGGTCTTGTCGAAGTTCCCTTAAGTATATATAATCATTCTAGAACATCATATATGCTTGCACATACACAATTCAAATTAGCTAAAATTTATAATGAAAAAATTAATGTAGAAGAACGTTTAGATTCTATTATTGATGATGTTACAAAATTTTCTATGGAAATAAAAACTAATGATCCATTAAGACCTTATCTTGAACAAATAGTTAAAATCGTCCCTGAACAATATTTAAATCGAATTAGATTGACAATGGAAGATTATGAAAATAATCGAATAGCAATAACAAATCGTTTTTCTGATAAAGAAATAGAAAAACAATTAATTAAATTACATGAACGTTTAAAAAAATATATTCATGTTCATCATCGTGTACAAGTATCATGGATAAGAATGATTAATGAAGCTTTTTATCTCGAAGATATTCTTAATAATGAAAATAATAGTAATCATGAATTTATTAAACAAAATCCATATTCACCATCATGGTTACGAAAGAAATTGTTTGATCAATATCCTAAATTAGGTAAAAATTTCGATTTTTAATTAGTTCGTGAAAATACACACACAATTTATAATATACAGATCTTAATGTCAAATGTTAAATTTTGCTTTAATATTCAATTGACTAAGATGAAACATTCTTAATTTAAATCAATTTGACTTCTACAACAACTTTTTTTCCTGATAAATAAATTGCAATGCAATTTTTTCGATATAGCTGAATGATGCGTAGGATATCGAATATTTTGTTGAGAAAAAAAAAACTGTTAATAACTTTCGTTTAGTTTTCTAATCAGAAAATGAACACAATTCTCAGCACTAAAATAGAGTTTTAATTGGAATATTTCGTTCAATCTGACGAGGGAACCACTTGAAGTGGTACTAATCGGTGGAATTTTGGCAAACAACTATTTTTTGGAAAATGCAATATCTCAACAAAAGAACATTCTTTTCGGCTGAAAATTTCAGAATATTCCGAGAGTCAGACGATCAATCCATGGGTAAAATTTCAGGTCGAAGTTTTATTATTTAATGTTTCAGTAAATATCTAAAGATAGATCGATCGAAATTTCAGTAAAACGGTCATAAGTTGATTTTGGAGGTTCATGGGCACAAACTCTTTTAGGATTTTTCTAATCTTACCAAG